CCACACAAACATCTGGGCTGGTGTGGGCACCAACACCTGGGAGCCACACAAACATCTGGGCTGGTGTGGGCACCAACACCTGGGATCCACACAAACATCTGGGCTGGTGTGGGCACCAACAGCTGGAGTGCCACACAAACATCTGGGCTGGTGTGAGCACCAACACCTGGGGAATCACACAAACATCTGGGCTGGTGTGGGCACCAACACCTGGGATCCACACAAACAAACATCTGGGCTGATGTGAGCACCAACACCTGGGGAGACACACAAACATCTGGGCTGGTGTGGGCACCAACATCTGGGGAGACACACAAACATCTGGGCTGGTGTGGGCACCAGCACCTGGGGAGCCACACAAACAAACATCTGGGCTGGTGTGGGCACCAACAGCTGGAGAACCACACAAACCCCCAGGAGGGAGAACAGGAGAGTTCAGCACAACCAACACTCTGCACAGGGCTCGAGGGCCACAGCAATAATGTCATTTGCAGGAGAAAAAGTATTTCTGCATTCAAGGCTCAATCTGTGGAAGACGAAAGGGAAGATGATGAAGAGCAGAAGCTCCAGCAGTTCCACAAGGAGCCCTGAGCACCAGGCCAGGCTGAACCCGCTGTGCAGAGCCAGGGAGATGCTGCAGGTGAAACGCTGGAGGGTCCCAGGGGAGGGGACACCCCCTTACCATTGTCCTCGAGTGTTTCCACTTGGTCAGCTTGTTGAGGATCCTCAGCAAGTTAATGCAGGAGAACAAATTCCTCCAGCAGAACTGGTTGTTGTCTCCAGCTTCCTGCAAGGGGAGAAGTGCAGCCCTGACCACAGCGTTCATCAGCACCGCCACAGAGATGTCCTAAGGCAGAAATATTTATTTTTATTGTCTGCACAAGTCTTATTTGTGACAAGCAGCAGAGCTTCCCCCTCACTTTGGTTTTCCCCAGAATCTGCTGATGATAACCCTTCTGAAACATTCCAACTTTAATCTGCTTTTAATTTAGAGTAGGAGCTAATAATGGGATAAATCCCATCATTCCATCATGGGAAATATATTTTGTGGTAGATTTGTATTCTTTGTTTACAGCCAGAGAGCAAATCTCAGCCTGGTGATCACCACTGCTTTTGGTAACTATTTCAATTAATTCATGCTCGGGGCACACATTTCCAGTCAAAGGAAATCACAGATCAGCGCAGGATGACAAATAGCAACGTTTGTATCAAGAGGATGAAACCTTTCTGCAACAAAAACCCCTCCAGCTGCTGAGACATTGTTTTAAATATGAGGTAACTGTAAACAGCCCCAGCTCCAGCTTGTGGAAATACTGCCCGTGGCACCTGGAGATTTAATCCCACCTCTGCAGTAACTTGCTCCATGTTTGAACAGCTCCAAGCCCAGGAGAAATGTCCCACAGAAATCCTGTCTGGGGATTAGTGCACAACAAAGGCTGCTGAATTTATAAACCCCTCACAGCCAGCTACAGCCTTCTTAACTCGGGGCAAAATCCCAACCCATTCCAGGATCTGGGCAAGAAAATCCCACCAGCACAAGCCCTTGGCGTTTAAAGGCAGGTGCCAGCCAGAACCAAGGAATCACTGAGGCTGGAAAAGAGCTCCAAGGCCACCGAGTCCCAGCTGTGACCGATGCCCACCTTGTCCCCAGCCCAGAGCCCTGAGTGCCACCTCCAGGAGTTCCTTGGACAGAGATGGGCACTCCAAACCCCCCTGGGCAGCCCCTGCCGAGGCCTGAGGGGCAGCCAGAGGTGGGATGTCACCAGGATGTCACCAGGATGTCACCAGGATGTCACTGAGCTGCTGGTGGATGCTGTCTGGTGCTTTGGGGGTCCCAAACTGCAGTGTCCCTGCAGTGTCACATTGTGCTCAGACCTAACCTGCTCCCCCTGCNGCGCGAACTCCGAGTCCTGCGCCTTGTCGTACCTGCGGCTGTTGAAGGCTTCGATGTTGGCCCTCAGCGTGCACTCCTCGGCCTGGAAATCCCACGGCCTGGCGTCGATGTCTGCGGGGGAGGAGGGACAGCACCCAAATAGTGTGGGAAACACTGCTCTGGCAAGGCCTGAGCAAAAGAAAGGCTGAAGGTTTCACGTGAATTAACCAGAATCACTCCTAATTATTATTATTATTACTAACAAAAAAACATCATGTGTGCATTTTCATTTAAGATATCCCATAAAAATATAACTACTCCTACATTAAGGACTATTTAAGATAGTCCATAAAAATGTAATTATTCCTGCTCCAAGGACTCTCTATAATTATAATATTATTTTTTCACAAAGACCCCACCACTTTTACTAAAAAACTCCACTGACCACTGAAGCAGGGATGAAGACTTAAAACATTTAAAACCTCATGAGCTTATTATGAGCTCCTAACCACAAATATTTTTAAATTTGTGCAAATGTAGCTATGAATGACAGTGAAAAGCTGCAAGAACCATGACATTATGTCATATTTTATTAACTTATAATATNTTGAGTGGAGATGGGCAAGGGTGAGGGCTGAGTTTGGGGGATGTTTTTATCCTTAAAAAATAATAAAAAAGAAGCATTTAAATTAAGACACAGGAAGAAAAAGCTTAAATAAAGAGGCGTCCTTTAAAAGTTGGTTTATTTTGAACAAAAGCATATTTTAAAAGGCTTTAAAAGGCTTTATGCCATTTCCATGAACAAGGCCTTGGACAAACCCCATGAAGAAAACATTCCCAAGCTAATTAATTATTTAAGCAATTAGCACAAATCCTGCCATAACAAACACTTGTTTATTTAGGGCTTCCCTGCCCTATATGAACACACAATGCTTTGACAAATGCCACCCTCATGCAATGCAGCTTTACCCAAGTGTAGTGTTCATTATTTAATTGAAGTATTAAGTTATTAAATTGACAGAAAATTTACAGCTCCATATCCTGTTCATCCTGAAAGTTATGGACCACAGAATCCACTGTTTTTCTCATAAATTATTCACCAAAGCACCTTCCCTCCCCACCCCAAGAGCTGGCACAGACATTGCCCCAAACAAGCAAAAATCTGGGTAAAATTTGGGCTGTTTAATGTTGAATTTTCTGTCCCCTCAGGGCTGCAGAGGATGTGCAATGCCAGTGACACTCAGGGAGGAGAGCAAAGGGATCTCCAGGCTCCACAGCTGGGAATGGCACAGCTGGCGCTGCAATGAAGGTGGGTGAGGGTGGAGGAGGGCAGAGGTGCCAAGGTGACAGATGGGTGTCCAGGGGACATGCAGGACCTGGCCCTGGTGGCACAGGGCTCTGAGCTGGGCTGTGTGACCCCAGCAATGCCAGGTGGAGGAGAGCAGAGGTGCCAAGGTGACCCAGATGGGTGTCCAGGGGACATGCAGGACCTGGCACTGGTGGCATCAGCACCTCTGAGCTGGGCTGTGTGACCCCAGCAGCAGCAGTGCCAGCCCAGCAATGCCAGGTGGAGGAAAGTAGAGGTGCCAAGGTGACACAGATGGGTGTCCAGGGGACATGCAGGACCTGGCACTGGTGGCATCAGGGCTCTGAGCTGGGCTGTGCCACCCCAGCAGCAGCAGTGCCAGCCCAGCAGTAGTGCCAGCCCAGCAGTGCCAGTTGCAGGAAAGCAGAGGTGCCAAGGTGACACAGGTGGGTGTCCAGAGGACATGCAGGACCTGGCACTGGTGGCACCAGCACTCTGAGCTGGATGGACTGTGTCACCCCAGCAGCAGCAGTGCCAGGTGGAGGAGAGCAGAGGTGCCAAGGTGACACAGGTGGGTGTCCAGGGGACATGCAGGACCTGGCCTTGGTGGCATCAGGGCTCTGAGCTGGGCTGTGCCACACCAGCAGTGCCAGGTGGAGGAGGGCAGAGNAGCGTCCAGGAGGCGCTTCCCGCCACTGCGGTGGGCAGGGGGAAAAGGGCGGGAAAAGCTGTGAGGGGCCTGAGGGGAGCGGCCGCCGCGATCCCCGCCCCTGTCCCACCCTCGGCCAAAATCCTCTGAAATGTCATGAGGAGGTCAAAAAACCCCCACCACAACAACAAAAAACCCCACCACAACAACTTGGAGCTGAGAGGAGGAGGGGAGGAAGTTGCGCTTTTCAAAAGTCTCGGAAAGATTGGCGTTTGGTGGACTGTCAGTGAAATATTGCTGCATGACATGGCGGAGTCTGTTTAAATACCTGACTCAGCCGCCTTCACCATAAAAATATTTAAAAAACAAACTCTGCTTTGCATCCTTGCAGAGCTCTGGACAGCAGGCTCTGAAAATGACATGTAATTGAGGTTGGATATTTGTAATAAATCCCCATTTATGAGGCCTGAGACACAGGGGATCGATGGAGGTGAAGGAGGCTGAGGGAGGGATGGGACATAAAGGGTTCATTTATGTTCTCTGCACCTTTTTTAGACACAACAATTTTATCCAAGGGTAGTAATACTTCTAAAGGTGGGGTGATTTTTAAATTTGGGAAAAAATATGGGACAGAGAAGTCTCTCCTGCATCTCTCAGCACCAGATTTTCACTTGCAAAGCACTAAAAAAAATATAGGTACAAGTGAAAAATATCAGTAGGGGCTGAATTCCCTCATAGAAAAAAAAAAAAGCTCATAATTGCAGTATTGCCAAACTCCAACAAACACATCAGTGAGTCTGCCTGGATCATGGGTTCATTTTTACCTTTAACATTAACCTCTCTAAATGTGCTCTCTGCTGCATAAGTAAATTTCCTTCCTTCTTGCCTAAAAAAAGTCTTGATAGTGTATCTCAGGGAAAAAGTCTGCAGATTTGGGAGTAAATTCTCTTGAATGAGCCTTGGATAATGAAAGAAAACATGAAAAAAAAAAAATTCCACTCTGTTCAGGGAAATTCTGTGTCATCTGTATTAACAAACCACACAGCATAAAAGAAACAATCATAATTACACTAATTATCTAATTTCAGCACAGACAACTATCAGGAGGCCACATTATAATTATTGAGGAAAAAAGAAGGCACAGAGCACTGAAATGTTCAATCAAGGAGACAAAAATCATCCAGTGCAGTCAAATGTTGTGTTTTGTGCAGAGCTTGGACCTGGCTGCAGAACCAGCTGCTGTTTACACATGCAAGGCTTTGATAAATAATTGAGGGAAGCTTCTCAAACTCCAGAGTCTAATCAGCCTGACCTCATACAGTCACTTCTGTGGTTACAAGGGGATAAATACAGAGCCAGCCAGGACATCTCTGTGTTGTTATTTTTAGGGAAATATTCACAGGAGAAAAAGGAGGGATTTTTTTAACACTGCCAGACTGAATGGATAAAGGCTAATTCCCTTTTTTTTATCACTCTTTCCTTTTCTCAACTCTGAAAGGAACTTTGTAGCCTTTTATCCTTCACTGAAATTTGCATTAAATTCACCAAACAGCTCCAGAGTTGCTTTGAGAAATTAATAACTCAATTCTTTATGCTTTATATCCCTAGGAAACAGCAAGACTCTACAAGAAAACAGAAGAATCCGTGCTGAGGTGCTGAAGAAAAGGTTTCACCCACAGCAGAACTTCCAAGCAACACCTGTGGGCTGAAAACAAAACAACAAAAAAAGAATTCTTTATTTCAGTTACAATGGGAACTGGGAGCACTGGAGGGTTCCTGGAACCAACAGTCCTGCTGGGGTGAGATAACAGATGTTCCTCCAGCTGTGCAGAAACCACCCAAAACTTCGCTCTGAAACTGCCTTGCTGAATGGATAAAATTATAATTCCTTAATTGCTGGCCCCCAGCTTTTCTGAGAATTTTTAATCAGTAGAAAATCCTCATTGTGAAGCAAAAAAAAATTTGAAACTGCTGCTTGCTTGCCAGGATGGGACATAAATATTTCAAATAAAGGTG